TAGAGGGCCTTCCCCTCCTGCACTGTCCCTCCACCCTCCCAAGCATGATGTCCTTCTCCAAGGACCAGTCTCTCCTCACAACATGTCCAAAGTGTGTTACAGTATGATCCAGGCTATAGTCTTCACAATTACGTGCTATGTATCGGGAGAGTTGGACAGTGACTAGTGATGATAGAGAATTGATGCCTTTGAGCTGTGGTGCTGGAGAAGAGTGTTCAATATACCATGGACTGCTAGGAGAACAAACAGGTTTGTGCTGGAGAGGGTAAAGCTGGAATGCTCCTTGGAGTCAAGGATTCTGAAGCTTCATCTGACATACTTTGGGCATGTTCCAAGGAGGGACTGGTCCTTGGAGAGGGACATCATGTTTGGGAGAGTAGAGGGACGGCACAGAAGGAAGAACCTCGATGAGATGTATCGATTCTGTGATTGGGGTGGTGGGAATGAGTGTGTTGAAGATGGTGAGGTTGGTACAGTATAGAGCATCATTGAGGGCTCTTGTACATAGGGTTGCTATGAGTCACAAGCGACTCGATGGCACATAACAACAGTGGCTCTGCAGGAAAAAGATGGGCATACTTCTCCCAATAGGAGTCAGAACCAACTTGATGGCAGAGATTTTTTTTAAATTAAAAATTAAATGAGTAATCAGCTACCTGAGAAATAAATTTAATTCTGATCTGCTGTTGCAGTAAGACATACTATTTCTTACAATACTGAAAATGAGAAGAGCTCATACTATATGCTAACAAATAACAGGTTATATACAAAGACTACCCAAATCACTCTAAGAAAATACTTTTTCTATTGACTAAGGAAGTAGGAAAACAGGGATTAGCTAAAAAATTCTAATAAAAAATTCCAAACTTAGAATAAATAGCTTCTACATCAGAGTTAACAAGAGCCCACAGTCCATCTTGCCACTGCTCATGTGAATGCAGTCACACTTTTTCACAATTGTGCATACCTGCTTTTGTAATACAATGGCATAGCAGAGTATTGTGGTATTGTGACAGAAGTCACATGGCCCACAAAATCTAAAATATTTGCTATGTGGCACTAGATAGAAAAGTTTGCTAACTACTATTCTAAAGGTGTCCTATAAATAGATGTTCGCAAATAGAGTACATTTGGATAGCAAAGTCCAATGGACATCTAAAATGAAACAAAGTGGGATAGTATGTAGAAAATATACAAATTTCATTTAAAATATAACAAGAAAAAAAACATGTTTGTTTTAAAAACAAATATTTAATATTTTAAACAACTCAGTTATACAGGAAAGACTTTTAAATACATACTGTATTTGTTAAGCTAATCATTTTACAAAGCTGGCAAAGTACAGAAAATGGTTCTGTGAAATGAAATGAAAAGCATCACTTGGGAAATTTTCTTCAGTTTTCCATCTTAATAGCTGATGATACTACACAGACTTGTGCGATGTCATCATATTCATATGTTCTCTTTAAGAAGGTATCTGTGAGTCTTAAGCCGGACACGCTCTATTGAGAGAAAGAAAACAAGCCCAAGTTTTCACTTATTTGTAAACAAAAAGATATAATGATTACGGGTTAACAGACTCCAAATATAGAAATTATTTAAGAGAGCATACTTGCAGTCCTTGTACTGAAGACAGTAGTGTAAGGGCAAGGCAGAGAGAGGAACTTGGACATAGTTTTCCAAGCTGCCTTCCTGAGATGCCACACCAGTGGATAGAATTGGTATTGCACATTTCCAAAACTAGATCCATGGTCCTTTCACTGCTGGAGCAATCAGAAAATAGGAATAAATCTCGTTCCTTACACAAAAGAAATACTTTAAGAAAGACACTAATGGTAAATGAACTTGGTTTTTGGTGTTTTTTTGGTTTTGTTTTTGTTTCTAGGAGAATGAATGCCCCAAGGACTGCCAAAAGAACAAATTGGAATGTTTTGGAGAAAGTACAGCCAGAGTACTCTTTGTTGGCAAAGCTTCGTCTCACAGACTTCGGGCATATTGTTAAGTGATATTATTCCTTGGAGAGGGTCATCATGCTTGAAAAGGTAGAGGGTTGGCAAAAGAGAAGACCCTTAACCAGAAGGAATGACCCAGTGACCACTGAATGGGATCAAGTATGTCAGAAATGATGAGGAAGGCACAGGATAGAGCAGGGTTCAAATGTGCAGAGGGTTGCTATGAGTCATACTTAACTTGACAGCACCTAACAACAGAAGAATAAAAACCAGAAACAACAGAAAAGCTATTGTATCATATTCTTTTTAGGCTAGAATGGAAAAAAAAAAGAAAGCAGATGGCATCTTTAAGCCTGCCTAAGTTGGTCATCTGGTTATAGTACTAAGCACTGCTAAGGCCTATCATGTTTCTGTTATGAATTTTTCCTAATTCTGACAAACTGAGCCTGGCCTACTGCCTCTGATAATAATCTGTATGCTCCTTCAGTATTACTAAGATAATCAGATAACTTGGAAAATGACAAAACTCATAAAATTAAGTGTGTCTTTATCTTCATGGTAGCTAACTCAAATGCTTGGTAGGTGCTATAGACCAGGTTGGGCCCACTGACTTTTCTTTTTAAAGTTCACAAAATTCCAGTGTATTTATATTAGGGGAAGATAATAAACCATTTGGAAACTAAAATTCAAGAAACAAGTGCTTTCTTAAAACCTCTTATTGAATCACTAAACAGAAACAGAATTTACTTTTTACAGTATTTTGCTGGTTTTGAATAACTGACGTGCTATGCTTCAAAAAAGACAAGCATGCAAAAAATACCACACAAGCCCTTTATGCACTGGGTTTGTAATATATCTTTAGTGTTTACTGAGCCCCTATGAAGTGGCAGGCTTTGTATACACAGGGCTGGGTAAAACATGATTCCGTCTGTTGGAGAATTTATAATCTAGTAAAGATTAGGGAGCTCTGGTGGCCTAGAGGTAACGAGTTGTGCTGGCAGCCCAAAGGTAAATAGTTTGAAACCACCGTGGGAGCGAAAGGGCAACCTCCTCCTGTGTGAGTAACAGCCTCTGGAAACTCAATGAAAGGTCAGCGATGGTCAGTTTCAATTCAAAGGTATGCAACAACAATGAAGACTAATAATTAAAACAATATACATGCCATTAAAAAATGAATGTTAGAATCTGCTCTGACAAATGACAAAGGATTTTGGGGGATTATGGAGCTTTATAAAGAGCTCTGGGTTTAGTGGTAAGGAACTGCACTACCAAGGTGAAGGCACTGTGTTGTCTGAATCCACCAGCTCTTCTGCTGGAGAAAGATAGGCAGTCTCCTCCCATGCAATTTACTGATTCAGAAAACCTGCTGGAGGGTCAGCTAGGAGTTGGTTCTAACTCAAGGGTACACAACAGGTAGTTTACAGAGAAAGTAGGAATTTAAGGATTAATATATATATCCTTAATAAAAACCAGGATGTGCATGAGATTGAAAAGGATTATTATATTTAGGCTATGGAGGCTGGAATTAATTCATTACTGTTGTTGTTTTTGATTGCCTTTGAGTCAAGCACAACTCATAGCGACCCTATGAACAAAAGGCCTGAAGCCTTTCTATAACTATCATCATTTATCAAAGTTCATCTAGTTTCCAGAGGCATCTTGTTTAGGAAGTGGATGCCTCTCCTGTAGCATTACCAAAATGTTTCAACTAATAATATATACTAAGAAGTAATAAAAGGTATAGCAAAAGTGAGATTTAATAATGGGATTTTCTACCTTCTGAGATCTGTGTTCATCTGATGGTTATATTATGCTCTCTGTTTATGAGAAAGTATATTTTCCATTCTCTCATGGAAGAGCCCTGTAGTAAGTACAATAGGTAAGTGCGTGGATGCTAACCATTTGGTCAACAGTTTGAACTTACCAGGCCCTCAGCAGGAAGACAAAATGTAGACTGTGGGGTTAAGAGTTATGGTCTTAGAAACCGTTTGGAGCAATTCTTTGTCCTATAAGGCCTCCAATGAGCCAAATCAACCTGATAGCAACCAGGTTAGTTTTAGGCTTCTTATCCCTTAAATTTAAATTCATAACCAGTTTTTTGTTTTTTCCAATTACAGATACAAATTAGAAGCTATATTATTCTAAATCTATAGTGTATTTTCCATTAGTTATGATTTAGCAAACTCGAGCAAAGAGGTAAACAACAAAAAGAGCATGGATTTTGAAGTCAAATATATCTGGATTTAAATTTTCACCCCATCTTTGCTCATTCTGTAGGCTTGAATAAGGTACCTAACCTTCCTCAGTGGTTTTTTTTTTTTATGCATACAATGCGAATGTAATGCATAAGCGAAATAAAATATTAAAATTATCTAATTAGTATAAGTTTCTATCACACTGGTACCAGGTAAAGAGTATTATATCATTCAACATCAGAGAAGGCTATATGCTAACAGGAAACATAAAAGGTGGTAGTGTATTTAAAAGATTTTAAAACTCTCTTTTAAGTAGATGGTGAGGAAAGGACAGACATGCACAAACACTGCCATTACCTGCAGTTTGTTATTTTACAGGTTATATGAAAAGGTTCTTCTAGGTTCACAGTATCTGGGATTGCCTCCAAAGACAACCTAACATCTCCATAACCTGGAGCCTAAGAGAGAGAGAGTGTGAGACAGTTACTGTGTTTATAAAGCCCTTCAATTGTAATACAGCAAAGCTCAATAACTGCTGAGTTTCCAAACTGATGCTCTGAAAAACACTTCTCATTCATCTCCCTGTTCCACATTCTAACCTCTATAGTTCCGACACCCTAAGAATACTATTGCAAGCGCTAACAATTTATTTTTACCCTAATAAGTTCAGTAAGAATGATCTGCAGCAATCAATACTGGCAGGAAAAACTGATTTGAACTTGTTTTATAAAGTAAAGACATAGTATGGATAAATTAACATTTGAGTATTTTTTATCTAAGACTAGTTTTCTGTCTAGAGATCAATGAAGTTACCAGTCTTTTATCTCATATTTGTTAATAATACCTTTTGTAGTTTTACTTTTTAGTGACAGACTTTGAAAAATTTAAATGGTTATAATCATCTTCCCACACCCTCAATCAAAGTTCTTGTCCAGACTCACCATTCTTTGAAGCTGGCTGGTCTGTAACCTTCCTCTTTCACCTAGATTTGTTTTCCACACTATATCCAATTTTCCAATAACTGTAACTCCTTTAATGATGCCTGCTTTTTCTGCAAACTCTTTCTTGGGCTTTAGGCAGTATAAGTACTGACGTGTATCCATTGGCTGCAAATAAGCTCTTGAACCAAATGTAGATATGCTGAGAGGAATGAAAAGAGACAGATGACGAAAAATCTCTAGTGCCTTTCTAACAAAGAAAAGGAAACCACGCCTGTGAATGTTCTTTTTCAACAAGAAATTGATTATTAATTATCTAAAGATCTAGAATCTTGGCACCAGCAGCCAGGAAATCAAAAAACGTATTGCGATGGGAAAGTTGGCTGTTAGGGACCTCTCCAAAGTACTAAAGAGCAATGGTGTCTCTCTGGAGACTAAGGTACGCCTGATACAGGCCATGGTCTTTGCAATCACTTGTTATGCATCAGAGAGTTGTACAATAACTAGGGAGGATAGAAGGAGAATTGATGCCTTTGAGCTGTGGTGCTGGAGAAGAGTATTGAATGTACCATAGACTGCTAGGAAAACAGATTCATCCTGGAGAGGGTTAAACCGGGCTGCTCCTTGGAGGTAAGGATTCTGAGGCTTCGTCTGACATACTTTGGACATGTTGTAAGGAGGGACCGGTCCTTGGAGAGGACATCATGCTTGGGAGGGTGGAGGGACGGTGCAGGGGGGAAGGCTCTCTATGAGGTGGATTGATTCAGTGACTGGGGTAATTGGGATGGGTATATCGGAGACAGTGTGACTGGCAGAAGACAGAGCAGAGTTTAGGGCTTTTGTACATAGAGTCGCTATGAGTTGCAAGCGACTCAAAGGCACAAAGCAACAACAAAGATCTAGAATAGAACAGGTCAGTGATTTCAACATTAAGAAAAATTTCTTGAATTGTAATTTTTATTTTTTTAATTGACTGACATGAAGAATCTTTAGGTTCTTTATAATAGAACTAAGAGAATTAGATACTACTTTTCCTTCTTATGAATACTGAAATCTAACCGACATCTACTTATTTGTCCTGATTTATATGTGCACTATCATTTCACACCAAAAATAAAATCATCTACTCCTATGGCAACTACTTTTGGTGTTAAAATAGTGTTTCTTTTTAAGACTCACTACCACCCTTTATTTAATTTCTTCACTATTCCTATCCACTGCTTGGAGCTCTAGTGGCCCCGTACCTCGAATTTTGTGCTACTAGTCAATATGACGCATGATTCCAGTGGCCTGAATCCACCAGCTATTCTAAGACTAGTAGTCTCTTCTTGTTAAGATTCACACTTTTGGAAACCTGATGGTGGGCTGCTGCTACTCAGAACTATCTCAATGGCAATGAGTATCAATGGCAATGAGTACAGTTTTCATCTCTTACTTTCATCAAATTATTGTGCACATTAAAATATCAAGTGCTTCAAGTGGTATAACAGAAAATGGAGAGGGCTATGAGTCCTATTTTTATGGTAATAACTGAAGTATTGATATAATGCTATTGAATGAAATAAATATAAACTACCTAGGAGTAATGGATGTGAAAAAGCCATTATCTCTTTCAAAACAAAGACAAAAACAAACACTTCATCTCTAGTATTTACCTTTCTCCAACTTGGCTGACAGAATTTAATTCTGCTACATTGTACATTATAGATGGCTCCAAGGAAACCTTCTCCATGAACATGGGTGAATTTGTAATATTCTGAATCTGGGCTTCAAGAAATACTTCATCAGTCTGAGGATACGAAAAAAAAGATACCCACCCAAGTGTGATGGTATTTTAAGTATTTACCTCAACAACAATACCTGATCTATGTGAAGAAAAAAATATTAATCACAAATGTGATTAGTTCATGCCTGCAAATCAAAGTTATCATAATAATTAATGCAAGAAAAGCAGTCTTCATACCGATATAATTAATAAGGAGCAAAGTGAAGTGTTAGTCAATTGACACCCTGCCAAACAATGGATGGGGGATAACTGTAATATACATAACGTGAAAAAATTTAACTTTCATTCACATATATATCTTTCAGTAAATCATGAAAATGCTAAAACGTGCTCTATTTAAGTATACTTGTGCACCAATAATTTTGTGATGTGTTATAATGCAAGATAATTGGGTCTTTAGATATTTTACAGGTTATATGAAAAGGTTCTTCTAGATAATATACTAGTACTGTGACTGTTATTTTATAGCATTTCGTTTTTTAATTGAAATAATTTGAGAATAGTCATTAGTTTCTTCATTCATGTTCAGTGTGTATTTAGGGTTAGAAAAGAATATATAAACTATACCTGGCAATCTTCTTTGTTTTTAAATCAAACACAGGTTAATTTGTAGCCTTGTTGTGTGCTGTTAAACTTGGAACTGACTTAAAGCTGCCCCTACAGAGGTTTTTCAGAAGCGGTAAATCACATGGGACAATAATGATCATCCTTCTTCCTCAGAGCAGCTGGTGGATCTGAACCACAGCCTTTGGAATTGCAGCGTAGCTCCTATGAGTACCACTTGGCCGCCAGAGTTTCCTATTTGTAGCCTTAGTGATTACAATTTTAGTAATACTGATGCTATTTCAACAGCATTTTATTCAACAAAATTTAATTTTGTACACATTTTTAATTCCCTACTTATGTTATAGCTTGCCTCCAGAAACCCTATGAACTTAGAGAAATGATGAAAGTTATACAATTGTTCAGGTCTGTCTTTCATAGGGTTGCTATGAGTCGTCTACAACTCGATGGCACTTAACAACATAACAACAACAACAACTTATGTTAAATATCTTTTTATTGCTTATTAATTATTATTATTTTTTTTCTTCATGGAATTAAAGAGTTAGCAGACTAGCTGGGGTCATCTTTGAAAAAAAAAGAAATATGATTTAATAAAAGTATTCAAGAATATTTTATTGAAAATGTCCATAAAAAGAAAAATGTAGAAATAAAATTTTGCATGTGATAAAAATTTGATCTATATGAGCTTTCGAGGGAACTCTGGTGGCCTAGTGGCAAGAAGCTGTGCTGCAATCCCACAGGCATGTAGTTTGAGGCCACCAGCTACTCTCTCCTCCCATGTGATTAACTGCCTCTGAAAATCCGCAGGAGGGTTAAGCTATGAGTCAGTGCTTACTCAACGGTACACAGCAGCAGCAACAACAACAACAACATGAACTTTCTAAGTATTAGAGTTAGGGTACTGGAAATTATTTATAAAAATAAAATGAAAGTACAATGTATTACTTAAGATTAAAAAAAAAGATATTTTTAGTCCCTGATATATGTGCTTAAATGAAAATACTCATTTGATCAATTTGAAAGGCATGTACAATTCAAAGCATTATTCTGTTCCTTTTTCTCAAAAAAAAAAGTAGGTAAATATATCCCATCAATCCATTGCTTTAAAAATAAAAATACCTCCCAAAAAACAACCACAGACCCATATTTCAATTTAAACAACGTAACTGTCTGCATAGGGAGAATTTAGAATGGAAGAAAAACAAGCAGCATAATGGAAAACAAAGTTAGTTTGAATAGTTAGTATAATTTCACGTTTGAAAAATTATCAGTGCTAAGGTGATGAGGCAGTTAAATGTGGAATGAATGCCATACAAACAAATGCTATCGATGTTAAACAGAAATATGAAAATATAATTTTAGCCAAATACAGAAAATCTGCTTTTCTTCTGTGGATTGTTGTTAAAAGGCACACCAGTAACTGACTCAAACCAAAATCACTATGTATTTAAAGATAGATTTTAAATATACATAGCAGACTTAATGAACGGAAGAACAACAAAAGTGTAATTCTTCAATATCAAGAGTATTACTCTTTCAATATAGCATGGTATTCAAAGTTTCAACAGTTACTAAGCCTCTTTTAAAAAACAGCGAAATAAGTTTCAATATGGTAATTTAACATTTGATGTCTTTTACCCTAAAGGCAGATAATACAGTATGAAAAACTATATAAAAATGATATATAGCCTTTTTAAGTCATATTGGTGGTATTCATAACTAAATTTGTTTTTCCATTATGGTTTGGAGAGAGATTAATTAGGCAGGGTCAATTAAGTGGTCAGTAAGAAGAGCATATAAATTTATAATAAAAAATCAAATTACCACAGAACTGAGGTCACTCTAATGGAAAAATAAAAAAGAAAAATTAGAAAAATCAGAGATAAATGTTAAGAAAAAAGAATAACTAATTTAAAATAAAATGCATTTATGCATTTTTTTAATGTTTACTAAACAAGACAGCATTAGTGAACAAGAAAGTAAACAGAAAGCAACACAAATATGAGAAAACATTTCTCTAATAAGGTGGAACAGCTGAAGTTAAATGACAATGGTTTAGAGAAAAGAAATCTAGCTGAATACTTAAACAGGAGCAAATTCTTAACGGCACACCTTGGAGGAGAGAGGTCTTATTCAGCCTTTTCAAGTTCTAAAATTTTGTTACCTCTATTTTAATGCTTCATAAATCATTTAGGATGATGAACACAGACACTATTCAACCACATTCAACCACAGTGTAGAAGAGATCTACACTGCCTGGCTGTTAGCTGCCAAGTAAGTAGATTCTGACTCATGGGGACCTCAGATGACCAAAGGAGAACAAACCCCAAAAGGGTTATAAGCTTTTGGAAGTAGAAAACCAGACCTACCTTCCCTGGTATCTCTGGGTGGACTGGAACTGCCAAACTTATTGCTAGTGTTCTGGTACTTAACTGTTCAGCTTCTCCTAAACTGTCTAATAATAAAATTATTAGAATAATAGGGTCCTATTAACTACCAGGAGAATCTTCAATTCCAAGTATCACACTTAAGACATACTAATCTTAAAGTACTTATTTTTTAAGAGTCATTTTATTACTTCCTTTATCAGACATGTGGCTAGAAATAATTTTTAATATATCAGTTCCTACGAATAATGATTATATTGGATCTGTTTTAAGCTGTAGTTATATCTTATCAATCTCTTCACTAGATGTAAGTTTCATGAGAATTGAAGAGATGTACATTTTACATTTATTTCTCCTGAGTACATGGCAGAAGAATTTTTGACTGATTGAGCGTTTGAATTCTTCTTTCTAATGGCACCAATCTTCCTGCAAGGATTCCTTATCTTGGAAGGTTACAACAAAGCTGCTAAGGAGATTCCCGCCCCCCCCCCCAGGTGGTTTATGTATTAGAAATTGTATGAAAAATATGTTTCAGACAAATGTGAGGTTAATAATATAGTTGTGCAAGGACTATATGCATCTCTTACTGATGCTATGCAGTGTACTGACTTCTATAACCTACCAGAAAGTCTAGTTTTGTCATGCTTCTGAATAAATAGTAACTGAGCAGTAAGACTTAATAAGAAATCCTTAATATCATTTCTTTTCTCTTGATTTTTAGAAAAGATACCTGTTTTTTTTTCAAAAAGTTCAGAATTCGATTTAAACAATCTGGGCTAAAATTTTTTGCAAAGTTAAAATTAAGAAGTGTACTTATATATAATGTTAGCCAAAAAGCCAGCAAATTATAGTTACTGATTATTAAAACATAAATATCATATGGAAATAGAGGCTGGAAGATAGCATGGATTTCATTAATCAATAACCTGCAAGAATGGCAAAATAGTAAGTTTCCTAGCCCCTATTTTCTTTTTGGGAGTATTTCACTGTGATTTTGTATCTATATCTGTCTGTCTGTCTATCTATCTATCATCTATCTTTCCATCCATCATCTATGTCTACATCTGTATCTATATATCAGCTTGCAAATCTTCCTCTCAGAGCATTACAAAATGACTTGACCATTATCTAATGTATCACTGTATTTTCAACAAAAAGATTGAAAACTACTTAATTAATATATCTTTCTAGGAGTCCATTAAAGGAAAAACAATCTATAACATCACTTTTATTTGCTAACCTATCTATTCTAATGGGAGCTCTCCTGGCTTAATGATAAGGTGTTGTGCTGCCAAACCAAGTCAAGCAGTTCGAATCCACTAGCTGCTCCATAGTAGAAAGATAGGCAATCTCTTCCTGTGCAATTTACAGGCTCTGAAAGATACTGGAGAGTCCTGATATGAATTGGATCCAACTTGATGTTACATAAAAATACAACATGTGCTCTAACAGAATAGTTAATATTCTCATCTAATAGTACAGATTGAAACTTTTCCATCAAGTGATAGATTATATAAAACCCACCAGATTGAATTACAACTAATATTAGTCAAAAGTAACAATTTAACTAAATATGTGGAATAAATATATAGTAGTCCAAAATTTTCCTCCTCTGCAAAGAGCAATGACAACACTGAATATTTATTGCTCTCCTAAATGAGTCTATTTCTCAACAAATGTTTCCTCTTTACTATATACTCAATATAGCATGTGCATTAACAAACTTTCTCCTCTGCCTTCATTGTTCTGCCACTTCTATTTCCAGTATTACTCCTTCCAGATTTAACGACAGTTCCCCTCCTCTTCTATGAAATTTTTTCTGATTACTCCAAGATCTTTTCTCCAATGTTGCTGTAACACAACTGTTTATATCATTTCATTTTAGATTTACTTTATACTATCTTATGGGCAGAATACGGAGTGATTCAGGAAGAATCAAAAGAAGCTCAAGTACACTGTTATCAAGAAAAATTGGCTGACAAAGAAGAATTTCACGAAACAACATATGATCAAGAAATAATGGTAATGATGGAAGAAGTTCAAGCTGCTCTGAAGGAATTGGTAAAGATCCAGGAATGGATGGAATACCAATTGACATATTTCAACAAACAGGCTGCACTGGATGTGCTCACCAGTTTGTGCCAAGAAAATGGAGGATGACTGCCTGGCCAAATGACTGGAAGAGACCCATATTTATTCTCAATTCAAAAAAGGGTGATACAACAGTGTGGAAATTACTGAACAATATCACATGCAAGCAAAATATGTTCAAGATTATCCAGAAATGACTGGAATAAATAGCTCACTGACAGAAATAACAGAAATACAAGTCAGTTTTAGAAGTCTTGGTACTTGAGACATTATCATCAATGTCTGATGAATACTGGCTGTTAGCAAAGAGTATCAGAGCAATGTTTATCTGTGTGTCATTGACTATGGAAAGGTATTTGACTGTGGGGATAAAATAAATTGTGGCTAACCTTGAAAAGAAGGAGAATCCCAGAACATTTGATTGTGGTCCTGTGAAACCTATACTTGGACCAGGAAAGAGACCTCAGACAGAGACAGAAAATATTACCTGGTTCAAAATCAGGGAAGGAGTGTGTCAGGTATGTGTGCTGTCTCCATACTTTTTCAATCGGTATGCAGAAGAGATCATTTGGAAGGATGGACTTTCAATAAAGGAGGAATGTAGCATCAGGATTGGAGGAAGACTTACCTAACAACCTGCTTTATGCAGATGATACAACCTTGCTCTCCTGAACTGAGAAGGACCTGAAGCATTTGCTTCAGAGATGGTAAAATATGTATTGAAGCTCAATATAAAAAACATAGATTCTTACCACTGGCACAATGGGCAAAATCAGTACTCTTGGCTTAGCAGTCAGGAAATCAAAAGACAAACTGGATAAGGGAAATCTGCTGTCAGGGACCTCTCCAAAGTGCTTAAAAGCAATGATATTAGTCTATAGAGAATAAGGTACACCTTATCCCGGCCCTGGTCTTTGTAATTATTTGCTATCATAAGATAGCTAGACAGTGACTAAGGATGACAGAAGAAGAACTGATACCTTTGAGCTGTGATGCTGGAGAAGACAGCATTGGACATACCATGGACTCTCAAGAGAACAAACAGTTCTGTCTTGGAGAGGGTGAAACCAAAATACTCCTTAGAGGCAAGGATTTTGAAGAACTATCTCATGTACTCTGGACCCATGGCCAGAAAGAACTAGTCCTTGGAGAAGGATATCATGCTTAGAAGGATAGAGGGAAGTGCAGGAGAGGAAGACTCTGGATAAGATGTACTGACACAATTGGATGTGGGTAGGTGTGTTAGAGATAGACTAGCTCACATAGGGCAGGGTTCAGAGCTATTGTACATAGGATTGCTATAAGTAGAGCAGGTAACTTGATGGCACATAACAGCAATAACAACAACATATACTATTCCAAGTGGTTTTGTTATTTTATGAATATTTTTTCTTTTCTCCTACTAAGCCGTTACAGTAGGGTAGGCTTCTTATCTTACATATCTTAGTATTTATTTCCAGTTTTATATAAATGGTATACAAAGTAAAAACCTCATAATAAATCATGCTGCAAATTTCTGATTTTGACTGGGATTTAAAGTGGTAAAGATACCATTTTCTTTTTTAGAATACTTCATTTGGCTATCTTTGAATTTACATCATTTTTGGAAGGGAAGACAGTGAGTTTCAAGCAATCTGATTTTTCTAGAGCTCTATAAGACAAGATGAAACTGAATATTCTAAAAGAAAACCAATTAATAAAACCCTTTTCCTATGGCAAATTGTTTTTATTTATTTTATAAAAAAGACAGATTATTATTAATTTTTAGTGTTACTTCTCTATTTTAATCACATTTGTTTCTCTTCCAGGAGGTCATTCAACAAAGACATTAACCTAACTCTCTCTAACATACTGTTGTCTTTCCAGGATAAAGAACTTAATGTGCTAAGCTTTACTTTTTAATATGTTGTTGTTGTTGTTATGTGCCGTCAAGTCATTTACAAGTCATAGTGACCCTATGAACAACAGCCCTAAACCCTGCTCTAGCCTGTGCCAATCGCACTACCTCTGACACACCCATCCCAATTATATTTACATGTAAATATGAAATCTATTTTACAGAGTTACATCTATGTCAATTTTTCTAATACTCTGAACATGATAAATATTCAACAAATTGTTATTTTTAAATAGTAGCAACAACCATTAAATGCAATTCTATTACATGGTGTTAAGGGCTTACTGTTCCAGATGGCTTCCCTGTCCATTAATTTACTTTGCCATATGGATAGGTGGGAATATATAAGTAGGGTGGGTGTATTAGCCTAGTCCCAAAGGGAATGGCTAGTCTCACCAATCCACAAGGTTACTGGCTAGTCTAGCCATTAAATGGATCTAACAACAGAATTAAAGAAACCTCACAACCAGTGAAAAAGAATCAAGAGAATGGAATGTGTCCTTCAGGACCAGAGAGTCTTGTGCTGGCCAGACTAGGGTCTACAGGAGCTATAGTGACAGCACCAACAGTGGAGGATCAGAGACCTGACATGACAGAAGACCCTGGGACTGCTATGCAAATAAACCACAGCCAAGAGCCCTTTGTCCAAGTTTGTTGGAGGGGAGAGCCATAACTGACAGGACAGAGAGTTTTGTAAAAACTTGGTCTAAAGCCGCAGACTCAAAGCTGAGGCACCTGCGAGCACATTTCAGAACTGTCCCAACTACTCTGTTACAAAGCTGGATTATAACCTTTTGACTTCCCCAATATGGTTCTGTGTAGTCTGAGCTATTGCATTGGATTTTGGGCCCAGAAAGCAGTACGATTAGTGGCTGGTTGAGTAGAAAGAGGTCTGGGAGCATGGGGGACATGCTGATCTCATGGGAAATGGTTTTGTGGTGTTGCTGTTAATGGGGGCAGTTCGCCTTTTTGAAGTTGATAAAGGTCAGATATTGCTGTTCCCACATGGCCCTTGCTCTTTTTACATATTATCATCATTCAACAAAAGAAAAAGCCACATAAAATTAACACTAAAAATACACATCAAGAAACAATGATTCATGAAGGTTAAATACATAGTCAATTAAAGGACACCAATAATTAAAATTATTCACCCTTGATTGAACATTCTCGAATTTTTTTACAAAGGACAAAATTATAGCAGTTAATTTCATTATACAAGAAAGTGAATTATTTGCATTTTTAATACAATAAAATTTTGTTTAATTTAAAATCTAGTAATGTACAATACTTACCTCTGCATTGTAAAATTTTGTTTTCACATCCAGTGGTTTGAGGACCTAGTTGAATAAAGTATATCAATTAGAAGAGATTTTAGTTAAACTGAACATCAATTATTTTCCAAGTCTGTGGTATTTCACAGTAAAAATGTTCACACAAAAAGGAACTTCTTTATTTTAAAAATTATTAAAAATCTTTAACATAAGTGTGTTGTAATACAGCAATGGAAATTTTTCTGATATTTTTCTTTCATTTACAGGAAATTATACCTAGTATTATATCGATCATCAGTCTATAAATATGTATCGCATTCTCCCCATCCCTACTTCTGTCTCTCATCTATTACTACCTGCCGCCTAGGTACACATGTAATCTCAATATAAAGGATTTTAATCATTATGGGTCTTGATCAAAAGTGCACATGCAATTTCAGCAAGCCTCAAGAATTGTGGTACACTCAACAACAAGGTATCTCTCTTTGAAATAATTTCTTAGAAATCTGATACTATTTCCCTTAAATTTTCTATTTTGTGTGTTTTCTCAAGGCATGAAAAGCAAACTATTAGTGGTTTGAATAAAAATCTTCTAATTTCATTATAATAAAATTCACTGATTTATTTAAATTTTCATTGCTTTTTAAAAATGCATTTTAGTCTGGTTTCAGATTACTAATAATATGAAAAGATGCACGGGTGGGGTAAGAGTTATGTTGGTTTTTAAACCCACCCATGTTTGTCCAAGGGAGAAAAAAGACCTGGTGATCTTCTCCCAAATACATCACAGCCTTGGAAATATGATAGTGGAGTTTGTTGCTGTTAGGTGGCGGAGACTTGACTCCAACTCACAGTGAGTCTACGCATAACAGATCAAAACTCTGCAATTTTGGACAACTTTACACTCATTTTTTCAGGTTGCCTACTCGTCCAGTTGTTAGGATTTTTGTGTTCCTGATATTGAGGTGTAATCTATGTAGCTACAGTCTCCGATATTCTTTAGCAGGTAATTCAAACATTCTTCACTTTCAGCAAGTTATAATCACCTTTCCAATAGAAATTATTAACGAGTCTTTCTCCAATCCTGATGATAAATTCTTCTTCACCTAGTTCAGCGACACTGAATATTTACTCAGCATATTAATTCTGATGAATACCTTTGCTAACTGTAAAAGGAAAGATGCAAAGTAGGGATAGCTGAGTCTGACTTATAATCGCTTCACAAAGGGGAACTTTCCACATCAATAATATCCAGAGCAGCAAATAGACAGCTACTAGGTCAGACATGCCATGCTCTATGCTCCTGCCCCTACTTCTACCAATCATATAGGTTTGATTGGATATTTGTTATTAACTCACAGACTTTACTCACTGTTGTGACACCAAGAGAGGGGTTTATTAGGGAAATAGGTTGGGGAGTGGAAGAGGCAAAGAAAATCTCACAATTCAAGCCCAGGTTTAGTCAGGCAGTCCCAAGTCAGATTAATATCAAAACACAATTCCTTGATTAGTAAAAGTCTTGGTTTCAGTTCAGCAGTTTGCCTCAGAGAATTTATAAGTCAGCTTCTCCTTCAATCATGATAAATCTTTAACTGCAGCCTTTATCTCTGGGCTCCTCTGGTTACACCTTGTCACAATTTCTCTACAACAATTCCACAGTCTCTCCACCATTAACACCAGGATCTCACTCTCATCTGGCTCTCACCTGGGACTTGCTCCAGTCTCCTTCAATTCTTGCTGCTTAATGTGGAAAACTCTCATATCCTAGTCCCACAGCTGTTGATGATTTGCAAGACCATCTGTCTGTAGTTAAGGCAGCTGGAGAACAGAGGGGGCCAAGGTAATGGCTAAAAAAGCCAACACTGCACTAAGATTAAACCCTGCAATATGCCCGCAAACACCTGCTTATTGGGCACTGAACAGATTTAGCATGAGCACAATGAAGTGTTCTAGAATTCTCATTCTTATCAATGTGATCTATAAATTTTTATGATCCAAACAGTTGAATGTTTTTGGTTCATCACTAAGACAAAAGTAAACATTTTTTTCTGGTGTTCTTAGTTTTTAGCCAAGACCATTTAACATTAGCAATAATATCCCTCGTTCATGGCTCCTTCTGAATCCAGCTGGTTTTTCTGGCAGTTCCTTGTCAATATACTATTCAGTTGTTTTTGAAAAATCTTCAGCAAGATTTTTCTTTCATGTGCTATTAATGATAATTTTATACTTTACACATTCTATTGGATCACCTTTTTGGGGAGAATGGGAACAAATATGCATTTCTTCTACTTGCCTGGCAAGGTAGCTAGCTGTCTTGCAAATTTCTTCGCATAGCTACCAAGTATACCCCAGGCTGCATCTGTTGAAACACCTTGATTGGCATTCCTTCAATTTGCTTTTTGCCAATACCTTGCAACTTGGGACTTTTTATTTTAGCACTATTGGTTCTTAATCATATACTACTTCTTGAAGTTGTTCTCTTTTATGCTGTATTATGATTATGATGGATAAAATAACAAGTTATAAGCTTACCCAAGGCTGCATCTGTTGAAACACCTCTATTGGCATTCCTTCAATTTGCTTTTTGCTAATATCTTGCAACTTGGACTTCTTATTTTAGCACAATTGGTTATTAACCATATACTACTTTTTAAAATCATTCTATTTTGTGCTATATTATGATTATGATGGGTAAAATAACAAGTTATATGACAAATCACAAAATATTAATCTGTTTATTTGGACCTTGTATTCACTGAAATAAATACAAATAATTGGATAATGCTGGGAGAAGGGATCTAAAATCAACTGACTAAGGTCATATTTATTACCTGAAACTTGAAGAATTTTCTAAAATACATCTTTTCTCCATTCTGAGTTGTATAACTGACGGCACACACCAATCTGAAAGAGAAAGATCTTTTAATGATTTTCAATCACTGAAAATGATTTTATTTCTTAACAGTAAATTTAAAAGACCTTTTTACCCACAGATTTTAAAACAATTTGTACCACTACTATAAAATTCACAAGGCTGAAGCAGCTGTGGATATAGTTTCAAGTTAAATAAATCTCAGGTTTCTAAAATGATGGAAACTGATTTTATAGAAGGAAGCACTATTTAGAAAGATGAAATGTATCCAGTACAAATTCCAGAAGAACAAAATAAAACCCATTATTCCTGATTAGATTTCAACACAGAGACTAAAGGAGAGAATAAACATGAAGCACAAAGTTTGTAATACAACTATATAAATTAGTAGACAACAGAGATAACTTTAAAAAGATTCTAGGAAAGAGAAGATTTCTTAGCATAAGAGCAAAGGAAAGGAAAAAACTATTAAATTAGTCTACATTGTTGTTGTTGTTGTTATGTGCCGTCGAGTCGCTTGCGCCTCATAGCAACCCTATGTACAACAGCCCTAAACCCTGCTTTATCCTGTGCCAATCTCATTGCCTCTGACACATCCATCCCGATTACCCCAGTCACTGAATCAATCCACCTCATAGAGGGTCTTCTCCTCCTGTGCCGTCCCTCCACTCTGCCCAGCATGATGTCCCTCTCCAAAGACCTGTCTCTCCTTACAACATGTCCAAAGTATGTCAGGTGAAGCCCCAGAATCCTTGCCTCCAAGCAGCAGCCTGGTTTAACCCTCTCTAGGATGAATCTATTTGTTTTCTTGGCAGTCCATGGTACATTCAGTACTATTCTCCAGCACCACAGCTCAGAGGCGTCAATTCTCCTTCTATCCTCCCTAGTCATTGTCCAACTCTCTGATGCATAACAAGTGACTGAAAAAACCATGGCCTGTATCAGGTGCACCTTAATCTCCAGAGAGACACCGTTGCTCTTGAGTACTTTAGAGAGGTCCCTAATGGCAGACTTTCCCATCGCAATACGTTTTTTTATTTCCTGGCTACTGGTGCCAAGAGTGTTGACCGTGGAGCCGAGCAAACTGAAGCTGTGAACAATCTCAATCTCTTCACCATCCATTCATCCTAGTCTACATAGAAATTAAAAAACTCATTGCTGTTAAGTGAGAACAGACTTACAGTTGACCTTCCAGTGGGTTTTCAGAGGCTATAACCATCATGGCAAGGGACTCTCCATCTTTCTCCCATTGAAGCTGCTGGTGGATTCAAACCACCTTTGAGTTAGTAGTACAACTCCCTATAGACTATGCCATGAGAGCTCCTTCTAAAATTACATGTATTAAAATATAACATTAAAGAGTATACAGAAGAGATAAAGAAGGACATGAAAGCGAGGATGCAACAACAACAGAAGAAAATTCTGTTAATAGGATGAGATAATTAATTTGTTAAATACTTATATGGAGAGAGAGGAGACACATTTGGCCGTGATGGCCTGTCTCAGGTTGTGTAGACCTAGACCTGGCTAAAGTCTTATCCGCAGAAGATGTATGAATAAGACCTTCTTTTTAAAAATAGAAATTGTAAGTAGCTTACACATCTCTCTATTCAATAAAAGATTTCCATAGAGAGACTAAGAATTCCACTATTTATAAAAAGAATTGAGAAAGTAAAATAGCAGTATGATAACTTTAAATAGGAACATTTAGGTACATATCTGAAATGCAAAAATGATTACTTTTAAAAGAAAAGTGAAGATGGAGAAAAAGTGATAAATTACATAGTTAAGAACTTAAAGATTTTGTGACAAAACGGGATGAGGAAGTAGAAAGTGAAATTACATCAGTTAGCAGAAATTTTCCCAATTGATGCTCCAGTAAAAAGAAAAGTAGATTATACTCAAACACATAAACTGACAGATGTACAGAATTTAAAACTTATTTCCATGTTTTCTTAATTTGGTTTGTATTTGATTGTTAGGACAGAGTATGTGTGTGTGTGTGTGTGTGTGTGTGTGTGTGTGTGTATATACAGGAAAACACAGAACTTAAAACTCGATTTAATAAATGTTATGAACATTAGTAACATTTAAGAAATAAGAGATATTCTTTCAGATAGATTGTTTTAAATGCTTGTATGACTTTTTTTTTTAACAAATAAATAAACCAACCCAAAACATTTAATTTATACTTTATATCTGGTAAGGATATAAAGAGGGAAAATAAAATTTCCTTTTGAAATAGCAGCACAGACTTAAAAATGGAAAGAAAACAAAAATCTGAAATAGAGATATATGCAACTAAATCTTTGTTAAAAAGTAAATCTCTCACTTTAAAGACTAAGGTATGTCTGACGTAAGCCATAGTAGTTCTAATTACCTCACATCATGTTAAACCTGGGCAATTCATTAGGAACACTGAAGATGAAATTATGCCTTTGCATAATGGTGCTGGTAAAGAACATGAATGTACAGTCAACTACCAGAAAAAAAACACCTCTTTGACAGAGTATAGCCAGAATGCTCCTTAGACTTGAGAAATGTATTCTGGATGTCTAATCAGGAAGAAGCAGTCCCTGGAGATTTGGCAAAGTAGAAGGCCAGCAAAAAGGAGGAATCCTCAATTAGATGGACTCACAAAGTGATTGGAGCAATGGGCTTAAACACTGCAACAACTGTGATGAAGGTGAAAGATCAGTGATCGTCTTTGTTGTAGGCAGGTTGGCTATGAGTTGAAACCAACTTAACAGCATATACCCAAACAAAAGTCAAAGCCTTTCAAAACGAATAAAAGTAATCCTTACATGTGTGTTCCAATTTCCTTTACTTCATGGTGTATGACGTCATCAATACAACAATCAGGTTTAAGTTCAGCAACAGCAGCATTCGAGGCTGAAAGATTTAAACGCTGAGAACTTGTCTGAAGATCAGCCTTTAAAAGGAAGGGAAAAAAAATCTCTAAATAAAATTGGTTAATCTAAAGGAAATGGGTGGGTACTGGCAGTCAGGAATTAGCAAGCTGGGATGAAAGGAGAGCAAAAGTCTCTGCACAAACCTTTCTGTAGTAGAGCCAACACTTGACATGGCAATGGCTCCTACCAACCAGGAAATGAGGAGAACCCCATACATGTTGCAAACAAACAATAACAACTAAACTCAACTGAACTTAAATTATAAATACAACCACACTGTGGGGAATGGAAGGAAATAAACTAACATTAGTTTGGAGAAGAAGATAATGACTGTGTGAAAGGGTAAAGATGAAAAGAACCAACCATACATAATGTTATACTCTAATAAGTACATGTATCTTTCACAAGGATGTTAGCAATTTTGAAGCCACGGTCTACGTGCTAAAAAAAAGTAAGAATTCAAAGCAAAAGAAAACATGTATGAATGAGTAAATAAAAGATCAATTTCTTAGTGAATTTTAAATTAAATCACAATTTTTAAAAAAGAGTAAGAATTCAAAGAAATTGAAATATGCTTACAGGATTTATTCTGTATGCACACACGGAAACACCTCTTTAGTCTTAAGGATAGTGAAACTTTGTCTCATATCTCACATTTTTCAGGCATGTTGTCAGGAGGGGGTCAATTTGCTAAGAAAGGCGGATGGTCAGAGAATGGGAGAAAGACCGCCAACAACGAAAGAATGGGCTCAAGCATATCAGAGAAAGTGAGGATAGTAAATGATAGGACAAAGTTCAGATGTGTTGTTCACAGTATTGTTATGAGTCTTATGCAACTTGATGGCACCTAATAACTACAACAACAAAGGGAAACAATTTTATATACTGGGGAAAAAAATGGCTTGAAGTTTGGTATCACAAAAAAGTCCCCGAAGAAAAAAAGCCTGACTGAATCCTGCCCTTGCCTGTACTTTTTGTTCTACTGAAAGGTCACCAGGTTGTCTTCAACCTTCCAACCATCTGCAGTCATGTTTTGAAACGGAAATTTAGAAAGCCTCACTTTGAGGAAGAATGAAATGATTAGCAAATCTGGGTGAAAGAAAAATCACTTACATGGCAAGATTAATTTTGGTCAGGAACTTTTTAAAAGTGACTGTAGTTTTGTAAGAAAATCTTAAAACCAAACCAAGTTGTCTGTTATACTAAGAATAAAGATAAAATAGATAACAGATGACTATTTTCTCATCTTGTATGAAGGAAAGGGCAAAGGCAAGAATGAAATCTGGACTTGGAGTTACAGGCATCAGGAGGAATACATTGTTATTGTTATGTGCCAGGGAGTCAACTACAACTCACAGCGATCCTATGCACAATAGCTTTATCCTGAGCCAATCTCACTGTCTCTGGTACATCTAATGTCTTTTACTCCAGCTGTGCCAATCCATCTCATCTGAGGTCTTCCTCTCTTGCACTGTGTCTCCTACCATTCCAAGCATGATAGCCTTCACCAAGACTGGTCCCTCCTGGCTACATGCCCCAAGTATGTGAGATGGAATCAAATTCCCTGCCTTCAAGGAGCAGCTTAGTTTCAATCTTTCCAGAACAGACCTGTTTGTTCTTTTTGTGGTCCATGGTATGTTCAATACTCTTCTCCAGTACCACAACTCAAAGGCATCAATTCTTGTCATTTGTGGCCATTGCCCAGCTTTCTGATGCAAAGCAAGTAACTGCAAAGACCATTGTGTGAACCAAGAGCACACACTAGTTCCTTGCTCTTTAGTACTGTAGAGTTCCCTGACAGCATATTTTTCTAATGCAGTTTGCCTTCTGATTTCCTGACTGCTAGTGCCAAGAGTGTTACAGAACTAAGCAAGCAGAAATTGTTAACAATCTCACTCTCTATTACTATACTGCCAACTGGCCCTATGGTGAGAATCTTCATTTTCTTGATGTTGAGCTTCAAATTATATAGCAAACTACAGTTCTTACCCTCTGCAGCAGATGTTTTGTACCCTCCTCAGTTTCAGCAAGTAAGGTTGTGTTATCTGCATAAGAATCTGTATAATGCAGATTGTTGATGAGTCTTCCACTAATCTGGATGCCGCATCTCATATAGTCCAGCCTCTCAAATGATCTGTTCTGCATACAGATTGAATATGTATGGAGATAAGACACATCCCTGATCACTCTTTTTCTGACTTTGAACCATGTAGTGTTTCCTTGCTCTATTCTGACGACAGCCTCCTTGTCCAACTATAGGTTTCACAAGAGCACAAGGAGGTGTTTTGGGATTCCCATTCTTTTCAAGCTTTGGCACAATTTGTTGTGATCCACACATTCAAATGTCTCTGCACAGTCCATGAAACACAAATAGACATTCTTCTGGTACTCTCTGCTTCAGTCAAGATTCATTTAACATTCACAATGATGCCCCTAGTGCTTCTAAGCCTAGCTTGTATTTCTGGTAGTTAGTTTATCTATGTACTGTTCCAGTTGCTTTTGGAAAATCTTCAACAGGATTTTGCTTGTGTGTGATATTAGTGATATTGCTTTATAAGTGCCACACTCTGTTGATAATTTTTTTTTTTAATGGGAATAAATATGTATCTCCTCCAGTCAGTTGGCCACACAGTTGTCCTCCAGATTTCTTGGCACAGCCTGGTGAGCACTTCCAGGGTTGCATCTGTTTGTTGAAATACATCAGTTGGTATTCAATCAATTCTTGGGCCTTGTTTTTTTGTTTGTTTTTTTTAAATTTCTTCAGAGTAGCTTGAATTTCCTCCTACATAACCATTGCCTCTTAAAGAGAAGTTGTTTCATGAAATATTTCTATGTCAGCTAGTTCTTTTTGGTACAGATTCTGTGTACTTCTTCCATCTTCTTTTCATGCTTCCTGGATCATTCAATATTTGGCCTATAGCATCCTTAAGTATTGCTTGAATTTGTTCTTCAGTTCCATTAGCTTAAGAAATGCTGAGCGAGTTTGATCTTTTTGATTATCCAACTCTAGCTCTCTGCATATTTCATTACAATACTTTGCTTTGTCTTGCCTAGTTGCCCTTTGAAATAATCTTTCCACGCCTCAACTTCTTGATGTCTTCCTTTTGCTTTGGCTTCTCAGCATTATAATGTAATATTCCATCTCTTCTGACATCTCTCTAGGTCTTTTCTTCCTCCTTTGTCTATGTAATGACTTTTTGCATTCTTCACAGATAAGTGTATTTTCTTTTTCTGGATAATATTCATGATATTCATCCACAGTTCATCTGGTCTTCGCTCAGTAGTGTTCAAGGCTTCAAATATGCTCCTGAGATGGTTTTTTAATTCAAGTGGCTTTTTAATTCAAGGTCAAATTTTGGTCTTACGTATTTAATTTTATTAGCTTCAGTTTGAACTTGCTTATTAATAGGTTACTGTCTGTTCCACAATGAGCTCCTGTCCTAGTTTTCACAGCTAATACTGAGCTTCTCCAATGATTCGTTCCACAGATGTAATCAATCTGACCAGTAGGTGATGTCCCTAAATATAGTTGCCATTTATGTTTCTTATCAAAGGTATTTGCAATGAATATATCACTGACTATACAAAACTCTACCATTTTATCTCCAGGTATAGAGTATTACAGAAACATGTATGCATGTATGTGTTAGTGTTAACACCACAAGATAAATAACCGTTCAAAACAATGTTAAATGAGACTAATTAATTTGTAGACCAGAAAAAAGTCACCAAATAAGAAAATACTATCTTGTTTAAATTAGCACCCTTCTTCTCCCCAAGTCCAGCTGTGGGTCAGGTATCACTGAGTTATTCCAAATCATGGTGCTTCTACGAACAACAGTAAAAAGCCCTGACCAATCCTGCACCATACTTACAATCTTCATCGTACTTAAGCTCACTGTTGAAGCACTTGTGTTAATTCAACTCACTGGGCATACTTTTCTCCTTTAATGACTCTCCACTTTTCCAAAGAAAAATAAAGCAATAGCTTGGGTTAGGTACATACATCTTAATATTTGTGGTAGTAAGGGTTTATTGTTCTATCTTGCTGTCAACTGAAATTGTATCTTATGTTGTTAGTTGGTATGTGCCAACAAGTTGCTTGTGTCTCATAGCGACCCTCTGTACAATAGCCCTGAAACCTGCTCTATCCTGTGTCAACTTTACTGTCTCTGACACACCTACCCTCATTACCTCAGTCACTGAATCAATCCATCTCATTGATGGTCTCCTTCTCTTTCTCTGTCCCTCCACCCTTCCAAGCATAAAATCCCTCAAGGACTGGTCCCTCCTTCCAACATGCCCAAAGTATGTCAGATAAAGCCTCAGAATCCTTGCCTCTAAGGAGCAGCCTGGTTTTACCCTCTCCAGGACGAACCTGTTCGTTCCACTGGCAGTTCATGGTTTATCGAACACTCTTCTCCAACATCACAGTTCAAAGGTAGCAATTATCTTTCTTTCATCTCTAATCATTGTCTAGCTCTCTGATACAACTGCGAAGACTATGGCCTGGACTAGGTGCACCTTAGTCTCCAGATTGATGTCATTGCTTTTCAGTCCTGGAGAGGTCCTGGCCAGATAACTTTCCAAATGAAATTCGTCTCTTGATTTCCTGGCTACTGGTACCAAGAGAATTGATTGTGGAGCCAAGCAAACTAAAGCTGTTAACAATCTCAATCTCTTCACCATCCATCCTGATGCTGCCAACTGGCTCAATGGTGAGAATCTTTGTTTTCTTGGCTTCAATCCTTGACCCTCTACAGCAAGAGCTTCAGGTCCTCAGTTTCAATCAAGGTTGTGTCAATTGTATAATGCAGATTGTTGATGAGTCTTCCTCCATTCCTGAAGCCACATTCCTCCTCATACAGCCCAGACTCCCAGATGATCTGTTCTACAAACAGATTGAAAATGTATGGACACAGGTTACATCCCTGGAGTACACCCTTCCCAATTTTGAACCATGCAGTGTTTCCTTGCTCTGTTCTGATGACTGCCTCCTGTTCCAAGTATAGGTTTCGCA